TTAGCTCCTTCTTCGCGACCTTACTTTCAGCAAGAGCCCATTACTTAGCTCCTTCCTTTAGCTAAACTTACAAGAGATAAGATGACAAAAAGGTGAGATGACTACAACGCGAAATAAACCGATCTTAGCTAATCTTTTAGCTAAGCAGAAATTCGGAGACTCATACGAACCCAATTTGCAATGCGAGTTTAATGAATCCTTTCCGCCATTTCATTATCAGCACGTAGCTGTCAAAGCCCATTTCTCGTATCTCTGCTTGTCCCCCAACAATGATGACAACCGAGTGTCCTGCCCCCTTCTGTGTCAGATTGTATTCCAAGCTGTGACGTGATACATCAATCACGCCAAGGGCCATCACGATATCAAGGTATAACCAGGCTTTGAGGATACCTGAACGAAAAAGAATTTCCGAAAAAAGTAACTTAGAGACCATCCAAATGCACCCCATAGTCGTTTGTCTCTCTTCTTACGTATACACTGCATCTTGTACTGGGATTGTCCTAAATTAAGGGTGTAAAGTTTCTATTCGGTTTCTATTCCTGCCATGGGTTCCATTCTAGATACATTCAAAAGTGGCATATACGAAGGAAAGGGCTGGGAACTTGACTCAACACTTGGTTTTGCTCACTGGAAATGAAGAAATACTTTGATATTTGAGTAAAGGAAGACAGTTCCGTCGAGGTGCGATCCGTAGTCCACTTACTCCTTAGTCCAAGGATAGCTATCTTACAGCGACATGTTTTGTTACACATAACCAAGAGTGAAATCCCTGAACATTTTGTCAAAAGATCGATTATGCACATGCTTCTGATTAAAGAATAGATGAGGGATGAATACCCGGACGAATCAAAAACTGTAATAGTTGTAGAATAGGCAAAAACTTTGGGCTGTTTATCAAAAAAATTCAATCGTAAGAAAGCATAACCAATATGGCGATTACAGTTTATTTAGCTTTAGTTAACCTGAATGCACGGAAAGATGCGGAATGATTCCAGGGAATTTTTCACTAAATCCACATGCTTCTGTATTCAATCCTATTGATGCTCCTTCGGTAAGAGCCCCATGGGGATGATATCCAAATATGTAGTTCTTCTTTGAATCGAGGTCGCTAGTTTTGACGAGGGTAATAGGATAGTAATCCCTCATGTACTGGAAAACAGAGAGCCTTCTTGCAAAGTTTATCAGTAGGTCTCTTCCACCACGTTCAGGAGTTTTCCACTCAACAAGATACGTCCACGATAAATAGAGAAGTACAAACGGCCATAAGGGTGTATAAAAGAACAGTTGATACAGCATAAAGATACCCAGAATGTGTGTACTTGCTAAGAATCCTACGTAGTACAGCAGAACGATGCTTAAAGTTTGCAGAATGTAGTCGAAATTGGAAGACATTTTTCGTGTATCACACAAAAAAGAGCAGTTTAAGTTTGTGTAGAGTGATGTTTACCCAATCGATCGAGTGAGAAACATGAAGTAAATGTCGATATTGTCGATAATCAAAAATTCTGGAACACTGGAACTTAGCTGTTGAGGGAATAAGGATTGGCGGAGTGTCTGAATTCTTGTTACTTCTCCCTGGTTGCCGGGGAATCTTAGAACAAGCCATAAATAGCGACGTGTGCTGCTTCGACAGCATACAATAATAATCCTTCCTCGTATAGCTGGATTATCTGTGAAGGATGTCTTGTCGATCAGCAAAACCTCTCAGCGAGCGATGAAGCCGTCAATTTAAGCGAGTAACGCAAGACAAGGGTTCGATGCTGCCATGTCACAATGTCGGCGGATCCCTTTCCCGTTCATTTTGCGGTTGGCTCCGCATTGTGTTCAGGGAACGAAAACTAAGACCAGGGGAATAACCCACCATCTACTTAAGCTACAAAATTTGTTTTGATGAATTTTTTGCTAATTTTGCGGTAGGAAACTTATCATGTTTCTAGCAATAGATTGACAGAAGTGGTTTTTAATCAATACTCTACAATTTCTCTGGCTTCGGCCAGCCATTCAAACGGTATTCATTTTCATTTTTCGACGACGCGACAGAAAGAAAGAAACGATTGAATTATCGCGGATCCCCAAGTCCTATGCATCCCTGAACTCATGATAGATCTCATCGTTAACCGAAAGGATCTCAGCATGAGAAATCTAGTGGGAGTTTCTGGCGATATGGACGACTTTTCCAAGGAAGAACAAATAAAAACGACTGTATGTTAGTGAAGTTTTATTGAGGCTTGAAAAAAAAAACTTCAAGCAGCTTCCTTGGTAGTAAACTAGATTATCAACAACTCAGATCTCTCTGATGGGTGATAATTTTCCTTATTTTTCTCGTACAATTCTTTCAGTTCGTCTATGTACCGTGCGTGAAGTTTGTCTATCTCTTCCTGCGTTGGATTCTCATCCTTGGAAACAGAAATGGGAGATCCCACTGTAGAAAGAAAAATGCAATCGGTATGATAAGACATCTTACACTAATTTAAGGTACGTTAGTTGCTACTTTGAGTGTTGAATGTAGTAATGGTTTGCTTTGCCGCCCTTTCTTTACTTTGCTTTGCGATTGGTCCAAAATTCTCTCATCACCCTCCCAGGCAATCACATACCAGCGGCAAGATCAATCACGCCCTGCCTACACGCGTTTTTCGGCCTTCGGTCATCAGTGGTCATCATTTGGTCATCATCATCATCATCACCATCAGTGGTCATCATTCGCGTTTTCCGGCCTTCGGTCATCAGTGGTCATCAGCGGTCATCATTTTTACTTCAAAGTTGAATTCTCGCTTCTTGTGATATTTTCCTCTCTCAGGCCGACTGGCTTTTGGGATTGGAGAGCATCTTGCTTATGGTCTCATAATTCTCAATCTACGCACCCATAATAATATTTACACCTTTACTGTGCGTAATTTTCCTCTCTGGTGACTTATTATTCTAGTAGTGATTCGGGTTCAATTTCTGTAGATCCTCCGAGAAGTATATGAAAAATGTCCAACTTGTAATCGAAAAGCTTTGCTTAGAAAGTAAAAACATTCATAAATGAAAAATACACTTACCGACAACGTTGATTGGAGATCGACTCGGTAGAAAACAAGTTCTGAGCCAAGAAGTAAAATTTGAGAGCCAAAGCTGAAGTCGTGAATATTGGGAAACTCTACTACCGCCAATGATATCACGATAAAGATTATTCTGTCCAAAGCCAAACACAGGAACAAGATCGCTCCTGAAAATGATTAACATCTTCATTTGATTACAGTCCGTCTCAAAACTCTGAGTATTGGAGGATCGGAATCGTATAACTATACCAACAACAAGTAAGCTTATGCCAGGAATTATAAGAACAGATAAAATGAAAGAAAGATAAGACGACTGCAACATGAGATGATTGACAGTCGTATAGCTAAGGAGAAACTCAGAGTCATATACCAACCCGGTTTGCAAAGCCAGTTTGATAAATCCTTTCCGTCGTTTCACTATCAGCGCGTAGCTGTCAAAGCCCATTTCACGAATCTCTGCTGCTCCTCCCACAACGATGACAACCGAGTGTCCCGTCCCCTTCTGCGTCAGATTATATTCCAAACTGTGACGTGACACATCAATTACGCCAAGACTCATCAGCACGTCCCGGTATAACAGCGGTTTTAATATAACTGAGGTAAAAATCGATAAACAAGTCATCCTTGTCATCAGCATTAACAGGGGTTCTATTTAAGTCTGCTAAAACTGCTAATTGTACAAAGGGGAACAGTTTGGAGCCCTTTGCCTACCTCTCCAGCAATCTTAAAACTATGTTAAGTGACCCCTCCCTCGTGAGGATTGGGGACCGAGTCAAAGTAAAACTGTGAGACTTAAGTAAATTTCAAAGAGAAGTATGCTCAGATTTCTTCCTTCCTCTACCAAGTTGATCTAAGATTTATAATTTATCGCGATTTGATTCTAAAGACCGTTGCAAGAAAGAGATCAGACTATGTTACATCACAAATAAGTGACAAGGCTGCCTAGCAAGATTCAAAATGGTGGCTTACCTTAGCTAATTTAAGAAAGGTCAGTTACTCTTTGAGATCCTAAAAGGCGTACAGTGTCATAATTCAACATGTACCTTTTTATGAAGGTAATATAAAATAAATGGCTTACGGGGGCATATTACTCCTCTAAGACTCCTACAAGAATGTGGCGGATGGAGAGAGGTACGATCCTTATTCCTCCAGTCCATTAATCCAGTGATCTCTCTATTACTTTGGAACACGGGAAAATATGCAAATCAACCACGAAGTGACGTTTGAGCTTTATGTCGAGTACAAATTATACAAAATACATTTCAACTCACAAGAAGGAGTAGGACAAACTGCTTTAATTGGTGTACCATTGATTTTTGAATAATTATATCATAATTATGCTACATGCCTGAAAATTTCATACACAAGGAAAGAAACGAAACTTGTTAGTTCCAATTCGATAGCACCAGTCCTGTCAAGTTGTTTAAAATACCTGAGGTCACGGAAAGATGCGGAATGATTCCAGGGAATTTTTCACTAAATCCACATGCTTCCGTATTCAACCCTATTGATGCTCCCTCGGTGAAAACCCCATGAGGATGATATCCAAAGATATAATTCTTCTGTGGATCGAGGTCGCTAGTTTTGACGAGGGTAATAGGATAGTAATCTCTCATGAACTTGAAAATTGAAAGCCGTCTCGTGAAATTCCTCAGATAGTCTCTTCCACCGCGTTCGGGGGTTTTCCACTCAGCAAGATACGTCCATGATACATAAAGAAGCACAAACGGCCACAAAGGTGTATAAAAGAACAGTTGATACAGGATGATAATGCCTGGGATGTGTGTGGCTCCAGAGAATTGCACGACATGAAGAAGTGTAACACTGAAAAGTTGCAGAATGCGGTTTAACTTATCCATTAAAAGAGACATTTTTTAGGGTTTTATGCATAAGAAACTGTTCAGAAGAGAACCTGTGTTAGCGTGATAGCTACATTCTGTGTGAGCCAAATGACGTCATAGTAAAGCCCCTTGTCAACGATAAGAAATTTTGGAATCGTGGAATTGAGGAATTTTGAGGATCGGGAGATCTGTCGGCTTACATTCATGATAAAATGTTCTCAGTGTTTTTTGGCCTCTCTTTGGCTTCTCAGAGTACTAAAATCTGCTTTAGAAACTCTTTACGGTGGCCAATGTACTTTTTAACTCAGTTGATAAAACCAAATAATCTTGTAACACCTTCCACCTGTATCTCTTGAAAGCTACAGCCTGTAAAAGTTAACTTGACGCCATATTAAATAAAATTCGTGAATTACACCTTATCGTCACCTTCATAGCTCTATTTCCCGCGGGGAAGAACCACAAAATCTTGGTTTCTAGATCTAGAATTTCGAGAATGGTCTTGGCAGACTAGGCCTACTATCCAAAAATAGTGACGTCACTGATAAGGTGTGAGGTATCTTTTGACAGCGGCGTTGCTCAATAACACCGGAAGAGAAGAAGTGCAAAATGGCGGTGGAGGCGGTGAGGATAGAAGCAGATGCATATATGGTTTGTTTGACTCACGCACTTTCGACTGAAAGGGAAGAAGTTATGGGCTTGTTAATCGGAGAGGTATTTTATTTTTTTCACCGTCATGTTTTCAGCTGTTTTATCGTAAAGTGAACAAAAGTCACTTCCTTTGAATTATAAACACTCCCAATCCCTTGTGTATTCGAATCAAAGACAGCTGGTTTAATCCCATCGCTAGTTCTCTCAGGCTACCGATTTTCGTCCCCTCTGGATATTTCTATTCTCCAAATATTGATCCAAATGCTCTTCGTTTTAAAATTTTAAGCTCATTTACATGGTGCGTGATCTTTTTCTTCTGTTAATTTTCTAGGTTGAGGATGAGAGAGTAGCTCATATTTATTCAGTTATCATGCTTCAGAGGCTGGACAAGAGGAAGGATCGGGTGGAGATTTCTCCAGAACAATTGTCAGATGCCTCAACACAGGCAGAGGTAATCTGTTGTGATCTTTACTTGTTTTAGAAATGGGTTAATAGAGGTGAAGCTAAGAAATTACGCTGCCAGCTGAAATTTCAAGTGAAGTGGCTCAAAAGTGGTCAACGGTTGTAAGTGTGTAACCTCAGAAGAGCCCATTGTACATTACCATGCAATCGCCATCCAAAAATCCAGCCCCTTTTTCATCTGGTGAATTTCACCAGAAGGTGGCACTTAGGGACAACCCTGGCTGGGTTAACAAGTTGCAATCTTCAATTGATTGTTTGACATTATATTTGCTGGGGACTTACAAGTTGAGAGACAAACCACTTAGTGCAGGGATCTCAAAATGTTTTGAAGTAGGCGGCCAACTGTGGAAAAGTAGGCGGCTTTGAAGTAGGCGAGATTGTTTATCACGAGCAGACTTTTATGGCCATAAGTAGCCGATGACATACAATCGAGTAGCTGGCAGAACTCTGACGGTGGCCGGCTTGTTTTCAAACCACTGTTGGTGGTCTTTTATGGCTATAACCACAATGCTTAAACAGATTAATTGTAATACTTTTCTCCTGATGTTTCAGAGGCTTGGTATTTTGACGTCAAAACAGCGACCAATGAGGGTTATTGGCTGGTATCATTCCCATCCTCACATTACTGTTTGGCCGTCCCAGGTTGGTAAGTTCCTGATGTGATAGAATGTGAACCCTAATATTAAATCAAGCCTGATATTTTAATCCCTTTCACAGCTGATGCAAATATGAATTCTCTATACTGTCTGTGATACATATCTCTTGATTATAGTTCTGAGAATTTGGTCTTAAGTCGGATAATATTTTTCTTTCATCTCATCACTTTCCTGCTTCAAAGGAAACAGTATCATTAGCATCAATTTCTTTTAGGTCACTCTTTCGAGTGAAAGGTTTACAATCCATATAACCCTCGAAAAAAGTTAAAATACAAATAGTCCAAAGGAGATCAAATGTATAATTCTTCCTCCTCATGTCTAAATACCCCGATAGAGCATTAACAACCTGATTTGAGTGCTGTTAATCAGCTTCATCAGATAGTCAGGCCAGGAACCTTATTATCTTCAAACTGAACCATCAGAAGGGTGATATATATATCTTATTAACCAAGGTAAGAATTCAAGTGGTCAGTGAAATTGATTTATATGCTCAACTCAGTTTTACATGTCAAATAGTTTTGACTGACTAGAAAAAAAACTTTAAAACAATTATCCTCCATTATGGCCACTCATTGAAAATAGTCCAAATAAATCATCCAAATGGATTTGACACAAATGTAAATAGAATCTGTCAATTGGCTTTTCCATGAAATACAATGACTTGCTTGAATTATGTGTGTTGCCATGAATACCAATCAATGAGTCATTTAATCATGGATGTAAGATAATACAAGTGGTATTTAAGCCTTTCCTTCC